TATATATATATATATATATATATATATGGGCCATTTTAAGGGAAAACTAACTAGTTTGTGTTAACAGTAAGGTCTAATCTCAACCACAAATCAATAGATAAATTAGGAAATAAATTTATAATTTTGGTAATTTTGAATTAAAAATTTAATGCAAGGATATTTTAGGTATTTTCTCTCATCTCTCATCTCTTCTCTCTCCGTCCCCCGTCCTCCGTCCTCCCGCCACCGTCCTCATGTGATACCACTGTGATACCTAAAAAATATGACTCTATTAAATAAAAGACACATTGTATACCCAAACACATATAAGATGCATTGTGATACTATTGTGTTACATCTTCGATCGACCACACAAACGGACCTCAGTGTGATACCCAAGCACATATAAGATGCATTGTGATACCACTGTGGTATCACCGGAGGACGATGGGCGGATACCAGATGATGGAGAGAGGAGAGAGGAAAGATGAGAGAAAATATCAGATATTTTTTTAGTTAATCATTTTTTGATAATTAACAAATATCATATATTTTTTAGTTACAAAAATTGCAAGATTTCAAATTTGATCTTTTTGGAGAAAAAAAAAATTAGATTTTCAAAAAAATTTCATTCACGAAACCATGATATTACAAAGTCATGCACCATAAAATTTTGAGTTTTTTTATTCATGATACCATGAAACAGTGAAATCTTTCACTATGAAATCATGAGTTTTTCATTAATGAAACTATGAAATCATGAACAATGGTATCATTAAATTTTTTTCATTCATGAAACCATGAAATCGTGAAACATGAGAATATGAAACATGAACATGAAACTGGAAACAAAAAATGAAACACGAACACAAAACATGAAACAAAAAAAAATTCAAAAAATATGAATAAAATATAAATATTTAAATTGTTACCAAAAATACCACATGCCATTAATTATTACCGAAAATAAAAAATTTAAAATGAAAATAAAATAAATATCCAAAAATATATTGACTATTTTACCTTTTTCAACTTTAATTTAGGTACGTGTATTAATTGTTTTTTTCCCCTTAACATAAATAACTCATATTCATTTTCAACTATTGATCAATAAAATCAAAGATGGAGACGAGTTCACAAAGTTTGTATGTAATTTATAAACTAAACCATCTCTATATATATGCGGCACGGATAAAAGGTTTTTATGAAATTGTTTAATATGATCAAATGTGGTTTGCAAAATAAACCACCTCATTTCATTGTTTAACTTAGAGGTGGCCAAAATTCGGTCCCGGGCCGGGCCTTAACCGGTCCCTACCGGGCCTAATCGCGACAAAAACCGGCGGTAACCGGTCCCGGTCCCGGCCCCGGTGATTTTCCTTGTAACCGGTCAAGGTTATTAGTAACCGGTTGTCCCAACCGGTTCCGGTCCCGGTCCCATAACCGGTCCC